AAGAGTGCTGGTGAAATGACTGTTGACTTTGCAAGCTCCTCTTACCATTGAGTCCAGATCCTTAACTAGAAGTGTGAGGATTCCCTAAAGGTTTGTTTTCCACTTTTGTGTTCGCTTTGTCTTGTCTTTGTTTTCCCTTGGAAGTGGTCTTGAACAAGAGCCTGAGCTCTGAGATTTTCTAGTTTGAGAGTGGTTCCAACTCCTAACCTAGATCTGGATGCAAGTTTTCTTGATCGCTTCACCTCTGCAATAGCTAAGGCTATGTGTAGACAGTGCTTGGTCCCACACTTGGAGCCTGGTCACTTTGCTGATTTTACTTGTTAAATGCTTTTTGTATGTTGCTACTGTCAAGTTATACAAGTCTTTCCTCTGCCGGTTTTGGTTTTGCCTTTTTATAGTATTCTTTGTTTTGTTTTCTCCTTCAGTATTTGCAGTCCACTTGTGTCTCTACCTCTGCCTGATGCTGGTGTCCTCATTAGTAGTTTCTGTCATCCAGTTTATGTAAGGCTCCAGTCGGCTGCACAATCTACCTACATATAGTATTTTCTAATTATTTGTAGTGGTCTTACAATCTGTAGTTACTGGAATCCCAAAAGTAGGAGAATAACAGTTCCCAACAGTTCCCATTTAGGGTTTTGGTGTTTGCTCTTACTTTAGAATTCAATGCATTGTTGGTTCAAGTCATGTAATGGTCAGACCAGGGACTAAATCAGGTTGCACTTTTGCCCGTTTGGGAGAAGGACTTCATCTCCCTAAGATATTTTGGATTTTAGCAATTTAAATAACAGTATCTTAGTTTGCATAGCTTTTATATACTCAGTCTGCATCTGTTGTTTGTTTTTGTTTTTTTTTTTGAGGAAGTAATGGATGTGTGACTTGCAATATTATTGTTGCTATTGCTTAGTGTATATGCTCAAGCAAGGCCTGTAGCGATAGGACAAGGGGTAATGGTTTTAAACTAAAAAAGAGTAGATTTAGACTAGATGTAAGGAAGAAGTTTTTTACAGTGAGGATGGTGAAACACTGGCACAGGTTGCCCAGAGGGATGGTAGATGCCCTATTCCTGGAAACATTCAAGGTCAGGTTGGACGGGGCTTTGAGCAACCTGATTTAGTTGAAGATGTTCCTGCTCATAGCAGGGGGCGGTTGGACTAGATGACCTTTAAAGGTCCCTTCCAACCCAAACTATTCTGTGCTTTTATGATTCTATGATTTATTGTCTAGAGATCTACTGGAGGAGCGATCGATTCTCAATAATATATAATAAATAATATATAATATGTATATAAAAGAGCATTATTCTATTTAATTCAGAGAAATCAGTCCAAATTTATGCCACCAAAACATCAGTATCTGACCTTGAGATCAAACATGATTTTGGTAACCATGCTACATTTTCACTTCCAGTATTTGTCCCATTATTAGTGAACTTGAACCAGTTTCAGGAGGTGAAATTCATTCTGTAGTGTGGATTTTGAATACTTACCTGAAAAGGTCTTGGGGAGTGAAATTTGTTGAATGATGCTTTCATTTGCAAGAAGTATGTGTTTTTTTAGCTAGTGAAGAACTTCACCTCTTTTTTTTTTAAATAAAAAAACAACCCTGCAAACAACCATGGATTTATAGACTGTGCTGTAGTTTTCACTGGTTGTGTAAAACATTTTGAATCGTAAGTAAAAATTGCCCATTGGCAGCGATGAGGTAGAGTTGGAAAAGCCAAAGGGCATCTCTACCCACTCAAATATTTCAAACTTAGGTCACCTTGTTAAGGCATGCATATTTACGTCACTGCAAATGCTTTTATATTTTTTGATACCGAGCCTTTTGACCTTTGGGAGTGTTGAACTATTCCTTCATTGGCTACGAACCTGGCTTCACACTGAGGATTTCTGGCAGCTCTACTTAATATGAACAAAAATGGGTGATCGCTGGGAGTGATTATTGCAACATTTATGCCGTTGCTGCAAAGAGCCTGTGCGTGTGTCTGCACGTCTGTGTGTTATGCTTTTCACTCTGTTTTAATATCGCTGAAAGAGCTAAGATGTTATTTGAATTGCTTCGAGGGCAGCTGAGGAACAGGACAAGAAGGGAAACTAGAGTATGGAAAAAACCCACCCCTCCTGCTAAAATGTCAACCTGTCTTCTTACTCTGCGCTCAATGATTAATAGCGAAGGCAAATGTCCTACAGACATGAAAGATCTGACCAAGACCTGATTGAAATCAGGGAGGATTTTTCACAGTCTTTGGGTTGGACGCTGTTTCATAGGAAGTGAACGTTTTGTAAGGTTTTGGTTCAGTATTTTCCATTTGCAGCAAGGTCTTCGTGTCTCTGCTTTCTGTGAAAATAAACTAGTTAAAATGTAAAGTTGCAGCTTTGTGCAAAGAGTTTCGCTCACTCCGATGAGGCTAGGGGTGAAGTTAGCCAGGGTCAGAAAGTTCAGAAGAATACGGTGAGTGGAGCCTTACTGGTTTTAGGGCATACATGGATGATTTGCTTAGTTTTGGCTGGGTGATCTGAAACACTGGTAGAAACTAATGATTCTGTTTGTAACTTTTGTTTATTGCAGGCTGCAAACAGTTACCTGAGGGATCAGTGGTTCCATTCTTTGCAGTGGAAGGTAAGTTCTGCACTTAACTGTCTTCCTTGTCTGCCTCTAAGAATACTTTCTAACATTCCCTATTCCTTCATTGTCAGAGCCCTGAATGGATAGTCTTACAGAAACCCTAAATCAGAACATTTATGCAGTTTCAACTTGTTCATATCGTGAATGCCATGGACAATTTAACTTGTTACATAGCCCAGCTTTATCAAGGTGTGATTGGCTTCAAAAAGTAGACAGCCAGTAAATCCGCGTTTAAGCGGTACAGAGGTGGGATGGTTTTGGTTTTGTACTATGAAGTGTAATATGTGTAATATGTTACAGAATGACTGCAGTCAGATCTGGGCTCTTGGGATACTTGGATTTTTTGTTTGTTTCTTTCTTTTTCTGAGAAACTAGGGAGAAAGGGTGTCTTTTAGAGTTGTATATTATAAGTAGCTTCAATCTGTTATGCATCAGTCTGTGTCTATGCTTTAGGATGATTTGGATTTAAAGGCAGTTTCCATTTCAGAGGTCTTGAGCCCTTTCTCGTTTTCAGTGGGAACAACGGACTGATTGCCCTGAGTAGGGGAAGTGGGTCACAGTGACAGCATTGTCTCTCAAAAGCAGCACATTCCTCATTGAAAACTGTAGCTGCTGACCTTTGGATGGAATCTGTATGGACCTTTGATGAAGCTGGAAATAAGTTTTGGCCAGATGCTGAATATGGTTGTCCTCTCCTGTCGTGTGGGGGGAAACACAAGCAGTAGCTCTTCAGCTCAGGACTTGTCTTTGACAGAGTTTCAGTGAAGTCAGCCAGGTTGGTTGTGTGGCTTATCAAGATTTCAGACTGCTGACAGCAACCACATGTGAAAATACAAGGAGGTCCTTCCCACCAAACTGGTTTTGTTGTAGGTGTGTTTGATAGTTGCAAAATAGCTGTGTGGCAAAACTACGGTATTGGTGTGCTTTGTGAAGCAACCAGCGTCTGGCAGAATCATATTCTGAGCAGATCCAGGTTCTTATCAGTAAGAGCCAAGTGTCAAGATCTCCTTTTCCAGACCACTGGTGTATTCTCCAGCCTGTTACCCTGATTGCCTAAATGAGCGTGGGACAGCAGTGCTGATAGCAGAAGGCTGGGCTGTGGTGTGGCACTTTATTTTGGCCTCTTGACAGTATCATTAACACAATGCCTAGCCAGTCTTGCTTCCTTTGCAACTCCTGAGGATAACAAAAAGCTTAAAGCATGCAGAGGCAGTATCTCCATGTGGCCGTTATTTTCCCTTCTGCTTTGGCAGGCAGGTGTGATCAGAGAAAGCATGGACCGAAACGATGGTGGAATTTGATTTCGTACCTTGCCCCTAGTCAGTATGGCTGTGGTACCAGTGTGCTGGTGGCATGTGCCCACTTTGCTCCTGCAGGGAGAGTCGGGGTTGGAGGTGCAACTCTGGGGAAAAAAAGTAAGGAGCGTTAAAGATGCAACCTGGCCCCACCACCACCCACCCCATCAATTAAATTATGGAAGAAAAAAAAAAAGCCTAGACAGAATAACCTGGCTTGCTCACATGCCTTGCAGTCACGGAGAGGGAGCTTTGCTCTGTGGGAGTTATTTTTAAAGGAGTATTTCTTAAACTTTCCAATGCTTCTGACCAAGCCTCTCATTTTGGGAAACTCTGAGTAATTTAACTTGTTGCAAAGTAGAATTTATTTTTGCTTCCTTGCTTCCCTCCCCACCTCCATTAAGTTCGTTTCTGAAAAACAAGTGATACATTATCTAGATTTGAAAGACCTTCCCGTTACCAAGAATAGCAAGTAGCTTTTTCCCATAAGAACAGTGACAGGGTTTAGTCACTGCCCAGGTACTTCACACTAACAAATTCCTTTTTGCTAAAATGTAGATAGTTTTGATGGGTTTTGTTGCTAAATAGTTCAGAGGAGGAGAACCCGGTAACTTTCTGCTCTTCACTTCGGTTGATATTTGGTAGGTTTAAGTGAGATCACAACAGAACTAAGAGGCGAGACAAGCAGTGTATCTAGAAGAAGAGTGGAGGAGTGCAGGTACATGGTCTACCTTAGTGAAGTTTATCACTTTACTAGCACCACCGCCTATGACTCTAAGAGCCAGGTGCCAAGGTTCATCTCACTCCATAATTTGTACGGTGTGATGATTAAGCAGGTAGTGAGGGAACCCACAAAAAAACAGGAAGCTTATTCTTCTGGAATGGGTCGTTTACACAAAGCACCAGCTGGCAGAGAGATCACCGCAGCTGTATTATAATTGGGTGGTTGTGCTGATGAATGATATATTTGTCCAGTGGTCTTACAAATAATAGGTCAAAACATTTCTGTGGGCATGTAGAACACAGATGCAAACCGGTGCAGATAGCCGAAGCAGTTATTTGGGGGAAAATGTTCAACAGAGATGAGGTTGCTATTGCTTGCTATTGTTCATACTCATGTAGTGGAAGCATTTATGGGGTCCAGCTGAACCCAGAGCCCACACTAGGTGTAGGTGGAGCAGGAGACCTTCACCTCCCCTGCCCTCCCCTTCCCTGGAGGAACTGATTTTACAGATGGCAAACTGATATTCTGAGAGTTTCCAGCAGTGGGGATTGCCTGCCTAGATCTTAAAACACGAATAATTAAGTTACAGTTGTGGAAGCAGATTCATATTCTGTCAGTATCCTTCTGGCCCCTTTTCCTGGGCTTCAAGCCTTGAGAGTCAGATGCTGCATGTAATCCGAGCTACCTGGAGAATGGATAGGCTCAGCGAATAGCTGTGTTGTTAAATATTTGGGGAAGCTCTTTCGGTTCCGGCACATACTGGTTATCCTTCGGTCTTGTATGAAGGTGCTAAGGTCTGTGAGAGAGCTTTTATTTTGGGGAGCTTTAAGGATTAACACACTGTGGAAATGCGATTTGCCAGCTAGCACCTTGGAAATAATTTTGTTCTAGAGACAAACATTGAAATAAAAATCAAGAATAATTTATTTCTTCAGCCCAGAGAATAATAAAAGAGATGCTACAGATAAACAGAAATAAAAGAAAGCCAAACACATAATTATCCATGTTTTAGATCCAGCTCCAAGAGGTTTTATGTGTCATCCAACTGAGTGGCTGTCAAGACGCTTACGCAGCTTTTTAGATGCGTCTTTCTCCTTGGATAGTGTGCTCATTGAAGAGAGCATGGATGTGGGCACAGACTGTTCCTTATGTAGTCATTTTCTCTTTGGGTTTTCCATTTCAAACCCTCCCACTAAGGGTTACTCATAATTCCTCATTTAATCTGGATATCAGTGTGTATCACAACTTCTAAAGGATTATTGGCCACCTCAGCCTATTTTTAGAAATCCTGATTTCCTTCGGGTTATAGCTAAGCCAAACTATCTTTGTGCAGAGAATAAACAGAACGTGTTAACAATCGTCCAGATCCTCAAACAGAAAGAAATCATTACTCCTTTGTGTAAGGAACGTTCCTTTCAACCAAGGAGGTTGGATTGAAACCATGATACGTAATCTTTGGTATTTGGAAGCTGATAAGTCATAACAGAGTATCAATAAAGATAACAACACTCTCTGTGAATATACAAGAAAGAATAACACATGCAGTTCATTGCCCTTTCTGGATCTAGGCTAGATATGGTCGCAGCCAGCCACTTCTGTAGGGGATGAATAGAGCTAAGCGTGGCTTTGAGGGGAACTGTGACTAGTAATTCTGAGACACACACAAATAAGCAAATATGTACCCTTGGCATTTTCCCAGACAGCATGCATCTACTTTGTTGCTTGTTTATATCTTGCTGTCTTTAGGCTAAGAGCTTTCTGTGTGTTTCTGTAGTGCTGAGCACATACAGGTATGATCTTCTGTAGAAAACGTTGAGCCCTACTACGCCACATGATTGAAGTATTAGTCATTAAAAGACCTGCTTGACTATTTAGTACCGTGTTGTACTTGAGTTAAAAAAAGACATCAGTGAGGTCTTCTGTGGAGGTGTTTAGGTCTTCTCTTGTGATACTGAGTATGGATATGGATTTACGTTTGTTGGGGGAATACACCTAAAGGTTACACAGGGCATGCTGCGTTTTTTTAGCGTTCTTGATAGTAAACTCTGAACACCGCCCTCATTGTAGGATGTGGGTTGCTCGTGTTTTCTAGTTAGCTGAGTGATGCAGCAGTGAAACATGTTAGTTGAGGGCCTTTGGGGGAATGTCCTGAATTGACACAATGTGGAAAGAACAGCTAGGTCTGCAGTGAAGCGTGACTCAAGCCGAGCTTTGTGTGCCTCTGACCTGGATCTTCTAGAAAAGCTTGCCTATACCTTGTCTTTCCTACTGATGCTGTTGACCAGTCCTTGGCTATCTCCTAATGAGTAGCACTGCCTGGTTATGGATTTTATCCATCTGTTAGCAGGGACAGTGCCAATGTGTTTAAGTGTATAATTGTTAAGGTTGGAAGGGACCTTTGAACATCATCCGGTCCTCTCCCCACCCACAACGTCCTTTTCCTCACTCAATGCAGGGTGTACTTTGCAGTTGTACGAGGTTGCTAAGAGCCTGTACAGCCAAGCTGTGAAGACCCAAACTAGGCCCAGAACTCACGTGTGGTCTCACAAGTGCTGAGCGGAGCAGAGCAGTCATCTCTTTCATCTTGCTGTCTGTGCTCGTGCTCGTGCTTGTGCAGCCCACCACGCGTATGCACGCCTGACTTGCAGTCAACAATCACATTACCTTTGTTTGAAAAGTCATTTTCTACATAGACACCATGTTTTGATTCCCATGAACTGGGAAACGATGCTGTCATTTGGGATTTGCAAATGTTTTGCGTTGAATGCTAAACCAAGTAATGTTGGCCTTCGTTCAAAGCTTTAATTTTGGATTAATACTTCCCTGGTTCTCACAGGGATTGTTGTGTCTGTATCTTCAAGGAAGAAGATACTTCCATGCACAAGCAGTCTTATTAATTGCAAAGGGACTGATTGTCGCACTTGACCTGAATGACAGGAGGCTCTCTGGTCTTCACTGTGTCCAGGTTATGAATT